CCCAATCTCCGCCCGGAGGAGCCGAGAACTCAGGGCCCCGCTCCTCAGTGCGCCCCCAGAGAAAAGCAGTCACTCCCGTGTCCCCGGTCTCTGGCCGCACTTCATGCTCACCCGGCCTGTGACCGAGCGTTTCTATCTCTGGCACCCGACCCCGTGTGGAGTCTCCAAACCCAGCAGATCCCTGCAGTGCGCTCCCATGCCTCTCCTCCCGGGGGAAGAAGGGGAGTCTCCCCGGATCTGCCACTTGTTGGGACCCTGCTGGAGGAGCAGTGGCCCGACTGGGCCGCAGATCACAGTTTATGGCAACCCCTAGCTGAGAGCCCGCGCCTCAGCTCCGTCTCTGCAGCCGGCTTCCCCGCTCCGATACCTGGGAGCTCTGCCGCACTCAGGCACCCCCGGTCTTTCTTGACCCCGAGGGTCCTGAGATCACACTGTCCCGCGAGGTTTCCACCCCCCGCTTAGCCACTGGAGCGACGTCCCTCAGCGGAGCCGACTTCTAAAAGTTCCGATTTTGTGCTCCGCAGCTCTATCACTTGCCAGAAGCGGCCGACAGAGGCCCCCCTCCCCCGCCGTCTCTCCTCCCGAATATCGCCTCAGATTCACTTCTCCACACGTCCTACCTTCCAGAAAGTGGTCGCTTTTCTGTTCAGAGTGTTGTTACTACTTTTATCTTTGATCTCCTGTTGAGTTTGTAGGTGTTCAGAATGGTTTGATCCCTATTCAGCTGAATTCCTGAGACCAGACGAAATCCACGTCTCCTACTCCTCCGCCATCTTGCTCCACCTGAACAAGGTCTTTCTTAAGTGCATATGCTCCAAAGTTGGGGAAGTCCCTGTAGCCCATATCTTCTGCTTATCAGTCTGTGCTAAACTGGCAGAAGTGTTGATCTAAGGGAGATGGGGCAATCTCTGGCACAGACTGGGTGGTCCCAGACAGTTTTCCATCTGTCATTCTTCTGTTTTCCCTCCTGCTCATGTCTATCTAACTGCCTACTCTAACAGTATAACTTGAAATCTGGGATTTTGATATCTCCAGTTTTGTTCTTTTTCAAGATTGCTTTGGCTATTTGGGGTCTTTTGTGGTTCCATACAAATTTTAGGATTATTTGTTCTTGTTCTGTGAAAAATGCTGTCGGTATTTTGATAAGGATTGCCATAAATCTGTAGATGGATTGAGTACTATGGACATTTTAACAATATTTGTTCCTCCAATCCATGAGCATGTAATATCTTTCCACTTGTTTGTGTCGTCTTCAGTTTTCTTCATAAATGTTTTCTATTTTCAGAGTAGAGGTAGTAGAGGCCTTTCACCTTGGTTAAGTTTATTCCTAGGTATTTTACTCTTTCTGGTGCAATTGTAAATGGAATTGTTTTCTTAACTTCTCTTTATGCTACTTCATTATTACTGTATAGAAATGTAATGGATTTTTGTATATTGATTTTGTGCCCTGAGACCTTACTAAATTCATCTATCAGTGCTAGTAGTTTTTTGGTGAAATCTTTAGAGTTTTTGATATATGTCATCTGCAAATAGTGAAAGTTTTACTTCTTTACCAATTTGGATGCCTTTTATTTCTTTTTCTTGTTTGCTGTGGCTAGGGCTTTAAGTACTATGTTGAATAAAAGTGGTGAGAGTGGACATTCTTGTCTTGTTCTTGACCTTAGGGGAAAAGCTCTCAGTTTTTCACCATTGAGCAGGATGTTCACTGTGGGTTTTTTTATATGTGGCTTTTATTATGTTGAGGTGTGTTCCCTCAAAACCTACTTTGTTGAGGGTTTTTGTGATGAATGGATGTTGTACTTTGTCAAATATTTTTTCTACATTTTATAATGATCATATGGTTTTTATTCTTTCTCTTATTGATGTGATGTATCATGTTAATTGATTGCAAATATTGAACCACCCTTGCATTTGGGGACTAAATCCCACTTGATCACAGTTAATGATTTTTTAATGTATTGTTGGATTCAGTTTGCTAATATTTTGTTGAAGATTTTTGTATCTATGTTCATCAGAGATATTGGCCTGTAGTCTTCTTTTTTCATAGTGTCTTTATTGGGTTTTGGTATCTAGGTAATGCTGGTCTCAAAGAATGAATTTAGAAGTTTTCCTTCCTCTTCTATTTTTTTGGAATAGTTTGAAAAAATAGGTATTAACTCTTCTTTAAATGTGTGGTAGGACACACCTGTGAAGCTGTATGGGCCTGGACTTTTGTTTATTGGGAGTTTTTAAATTGCTGGTAATGGGTCTATTCAAATTTTCTATTTCTTCCTGTCAGATCCATCTAGTCCAATGTGTCATTGAAACCCACTATTTCCTCATTGATTTTCTGTTTAGATGATCTAATAATTGATGTAAGTGGGTGTTAAAGTCCCTACTATTATTATTGTATTACTATTGATTACTTACTTTATGTTTGTTATTAATTGCTTTATATATTTGGGTGCTCCCAATATTGGGAGCATAAATTGGTTGCGTAAATATTTACAATTATATTTCCTTGTTGGATTGTTCCCATTATGATTGTAGTGTCCTTCTATGTCTCTTGTTACAGTTTTTGTTTAAGTCTATTTTGTCTGGTACAAGTATTGCTACCCAAGCTTTCTTTTGACATCCATTTGCATAATAAATGTTTCTCCATCCCTTCACTTTCAATTTCATGCATGTCTTTCAGTCTGAAATGAGTCTCTTTTAGGCAGTACATAGATAGGTCTTCTTTTTTATCCATTCTGACACCCTATATATTTTGATTGGAGCATTTAGCCCATTTACATTCAAAGTAATTAGTGATAGACATGTACTTATTGACATTTTTTTGCTTGTTTTATGGTTGTTTTTGTAGTTCTTCTCTTGCCTTCTTCTCCCACTACTTGCTGGCTTTCTTTAGTGATATGCTGGGATTCCTTGCTTTTTTTTTTTTTTTTTTCATGTCTATTACTGGTTTTAGAATTGTGGTTTCCATTATGTTTGTATATAACATTTTCTGCATATAACAGTCTATATTAAGTTGATGGTCATTTAAATTAGAACCTATAATTTAATCCTCTCCCCCCTCACACACATTTTAAGTATTTTGTAATTTACTTACATCATTTTATTTTGTGGGTCCCTTGACTGATTTTTATAAATATACTTATTTTTACTGCTTTTGTCCTTCCTACTTTCTTACTGTTGCTTATGGTCCTCCCTTTCCACTCATAGAGTTTCTTTTAACATTTCTTGTAGAACTGGCTTAGTGGTTATGAATACCTTTAACTTTTGTTTCTCTGGGAAAGTCTTTATCGCTCCTCCTTTTCTAAATGGTAGCCTTGATGGATGGAATATTCTTGGCTGCAGGTTTTTCCTTTCAGCACTTTGAATATATCATGCCACTCTCTTTGGGTCTGTAAGGTTTTGGCAGAAAAATCAGCTGAGAGACTTATGGGTTTCCCTTGTATGCAACTGTTTTCTTTACTCTTGCTTATTTTATTTGTTTATTTATTTGTTTGTTTATTTATTTTACTTAAATTCAATTACCCAATGTATAGTACAATATTAGTTTTTGATATACTGTTCAATGATTCGTTAATTGTGTATAACACCCAGTGCTCATCACATCACTTGCCCTCCTTAATGCCCTTCACCAAGTTACCCCAACTCCCCACCCACCTCCCTTTCCCCAACCCTCAGGTTGTTTCCCAGAGTCGAGTCTCATATGGTTTGTGTCCCTCTCTCAATTCAGTTTTTCCTTCCTTCCCCTATTGTCCTCTGCACTATTCTTTACGTTCCACACATGGGTGAAACCAATTGTCTTTCTCTGATTGACTTATTTCACTCATCATAATACCCTCCAGTTCTATCCATGTTGATGTAAATGCTAGATATTCATCTTTTTTAATGGCTGAGTCATATTCCATTGTATATATGAACCACATCTTCTTTATCCATTCATCCGTTGAAAGACATCTCTGCTCCTTCCACAGTTTGGCTATTGTGGACATTGCTGCTATGAACATTGGGGTGCATATGGCCCTTCTTTTCACTACATCTGTGTCTTTGGGGTAAATACCTAGTAGTGCAATTGCTGGTTCATAATGTAGGTCTATTTTTAATGTCTTCAGGAATCTCCATACTGTTTTCCAGAGTGGCTGTACCAGCTTGCACTCCCACCAACAGTGTAAGAGGGTTCCCATTTCTCAAAAAACTCGCCAACATTTGTTGTTTCCTGACTTGTTAATTTTAGCCATTCTGACTGGTGTAAGGTGGTATCTCATTGTGGTTTTGATTTGTATTTCCCTGATGGCAAGTGATATGGAGCATCTTTTCATGTGTCTGTTGGTCATTTCTATGTCTTCTTTGGAGAAGTGTCTGTTCGTGTCTTCTGCCTATTTCTTGACTGGATTATTTGGGTTTTGGGTGTTGAGTTTGAGAAGTTCTTTGTACATCCTGGATACCATCCCTTTGTCTGTTATTTCATTTGCAAATGCCTTCTCCATTCCACAGGTTCCCTTTTAGTTTTGTCGATTGTTTCCTTTGCTGTGCAGAAGACTTTTATCTTGATGAAGTCCTAATAGTTCATTTTTGCTTTTGTTTCCCTTGCCTTTAGAGATGTGTCTTGGAAGAAGTTGCTGTGTCCAAGGTTGAAGAGGTTGCTACCTGTGTTCTCTGGGATTTTGGTGGATTCCTGTCTCACATTGAGGTCTTTTATCCATTTTGAGTTTAACTTTGTGTATGGTGTGAAAGATGGTCCAGTTTCATTCTTCTTCATGTGGCTGTCCAATTTTCCCAATCTTCCAATTTATTGAAGAAACTGTCGTTTTTCCATTGGATAGTCTTTCTTATTTTGTCAAAGATTAGTTGACCATACAGTTGAGGGCCCATTTCTGGGCTCTCTTTCTGTTCCATTGATCTATGTGTCTGTTTTTGTGCCAGTACTATGCTGTCTTAATGATCACAGCTTTGTAATATAACTTGAAGTCAGGCATTGTGTTGCCCCCAGCTTTGGTTTTCTTTTTCAACATTCCCCTGGCAATGAGTGGTCTTTCCTGGTTCCATACAAATTTTAGGATTGTCTGTTCCAGCTCTGTGAAAAATGTTGATCATATATTGATAGGAATTGCATTGAATGTGTAGATTGCTCTGGGCAGCATAGACATTTTAACAATGTTTATTCTCCCAATCCGTGAGCATGGAATGTTTTTCCCTCTCTTTGTGTCTTCCTCTATTTCCTTCATAAGTATTTATTAGTTCTAAAATATAGATCCTTTACCTCTTAGTTTAGGTTTATTCCTAAGTATCTTAGGGTTTTTGGTGCAATAGCAAATGGGATCTATTCCTTAATTTCTCTTTCTTCAGTCACATTGTTAGTGTATAGAAATGCAACTGATTTCTGTTCATTGATTTTGTATCCTGCCACATTGCTGAATCACTATATGAGTTCTAGAATTTTGGGGTGAAGTCTTTTGGGTTTTGCAAATAAAGTATCATATCATCTGTGAAGAGTGAGAGTTCGACTTCTTCATGGCAATTTGAATGCCTTTTATTTCTTTTTGTTGTCTGATTGCTGATGCTAATGACTTCTAGTAATATGATGAACAATACTGGTGAGAGTGGACATCCCTGTCATGTTCCTGACCTTAAGGGAAAAGCTCCCAGTTTTTCCCCACTGAGAATGATATTCACTGTGGGCTTTTCATAGATGGTTTTTATGATATTGAGGTATGTTCCCTCTATCCCTATATTTTAAAGAGTTTTAATCAAGAAAGGATGCTGTGTTTTGTCAAATGCTTCTTCTGCATCAATAGAGAGAATCATATACTTCTTGTCTTTTCTTTTATTAATGTGCTCTATCATGTTGATTGATTTGCAAATGTTAAACCACCCTTGCATCCCAGGAATAAATCCCACCTGGTCGTGGCAAATAATCCTTTTAATGTACTGTTGGATCCTATTGGCTAGGATCTTGGTGAGTATTTTTGCATCCTCGTTCATCAGAGATAATGATCTGTAATTCTCCCTTTTGATGGGGTCTTTGTCTGGTTTTGGGATCAAGGTAATGCTGGCCTCATAGAATGAGTTTGGTAGTTTTCCTTCCCTTTCTACTGTTTGAAACAGCTTCAGAAGAATAAGTATGATTTCTTCTTTAAATGTTTGGTAAAATTCCCCTGGCAGGCCATCTGGCCCTGGATTCTTGTTTTTTGGGAGGTTTTTGATTACTGCTTCAATTTCCTTGCTGCTTATTGG